AAAGGCCGCCCCGGCGGCCGCCGTCGGACACCTGCAGACGCCCCCGCGGCCCGCGGCCTGCACCTGGCGCCGCACCTGGCGCTTCCCGAGCTCCAACGCGCGCAGATCGCCCGGGACCCCGTTAACTGCAGGCTCTGCTGCGGGAGGCGGGTCGGGGCTGCGATTCTGCGTTTCTGATAAGCGCTCGGGCGTGTGAGTCGCACCTGGTCCAAGGAACACATTGCGAGTGTCAGGGGCAGGGTGTGACCCCTGCAGGAAGCAGGCAGGCATTTTTCTTAGCGGCCTGTAGCATAAACTAGGCTTGGGAGAGAGAGAAGGAGGGAGGGAGGAGGGGAGAGATAAAGTGAGAAAGGGAGAGAAACTGAGTGTGAAAGCCTCAGGCCCTCCTGAAGGTTTGGCACCAGGAGAATGACAAGGGGCCCTTCTGCTGAGTGGTGAGGGGACCTGAGAACCCAGTGGAGAAGTGAGCAGGCTTTTCTGTGGCAGGCTGCAGTTGATGAGTAATCTGAGTTTCACATATTTTCATCTCTCAAGTGCAAAACAAATGGAAAAACTGAAACATCAGACAAGCAGAAGCCAGAGATGGAACAAGAATGTTAATGCCTGTACCTAACCAAGAGCTGTTTTCTTCTGCAGTCAGACAGTTTTCAAAATGAAGGCGGGGCTGCGAAGTTCTCTTGCTGTTTCTCGGTGGCCCAGGCAGCAGCCCCGGCCTTTTCTGACTTTTGTTTGTCAGACATTGTTTCATGTTCAGTACTAGATGCCTTCTTCTCTCTCATCCCAGACTGACCAGGCGTTTGGGGTACGGGAAGACCTTTAGATGTTCACTTTTTCTGCTTGGAATTTCAGGCACTCCACACTCACTAACTCTGTTTTTCTTATTACTTATTTTCTAGTTGGTGCGTGGGGGCAAGAAGGTAAGACACACTTCCTCTCCTCGTGGTGAAATCCGCCCAGCATTCTCTATCTTTCGGAGGGAGCTTTCTCTGGACCGCCCACAGAGCTTCCCCAGAGAACATAAAGGGGGTTCTGCCATCCTGTACTTCGCTGTTTCTTCATAAGTCTGGAGATAGTTCTGGCCGTAGCCAAGAAGAGAGAAACTGCAGAGACCATAGGAAGTAGTGAGTCTTTTTCACAAGGAAAAAATTGAGACTATCCAGTTACATTGACAGTGCCAAGCATTTGCATTTGCTTGCATTCCTGTTGGGGTGAGATTCCATGCGGGGCACGGACCCTGAACGTGTGTTCCTGTGCTGCTCATGAGTGCGCCCTGCCACACCGACTTTCTCAGTCATAGCAGCAGAGTCAAAAAGGTGTCCCAATATTGGAAGCCTTTCTATTTCATCAGCTCCTCCAAACTGAGTGAAACAATTTTGTGGGGTTTTTTATTATTATTATTTTTTAACAATTTTGTGTTTAAAGGCAGTCACAGTGCCAATCTACACCCCCATTGTACTGCCTAATTTATAAGTGTCCTTGGGATCCTTTTTTTTTTTGCCATGCAACATGCTTTAAAGTTACATTATTGACAAATGCGATATGACAAAATCGCTAATATGTTTCAGGATAGCTCATCTCTTATGCAAGCTATTGCCATTTAGAGTTGATTTTTGTTTAACATATGATTTATGTTCAATATAGATCTGATTCAGTGCTCATTTCAGCATCACATGTACTAAATGTTTTTCCCAGCTCTATTGAGATATAATTGACATATAATATGGTATAAGTTTAAGGTATACAATGTAATGATTTGGTGTATATATATATTGTGAAATGATTACTCAGAATTCATTTTTGTAAATAACCATCAGTTGTTTAATATAAGACGTCCTGCCCAAAACAGTTTTCATATACAGCCATGGGGGATTTGAAGATCCACTGTTATTTAAAGGTTGAGGAAACAGTCCTAACCCATAGAAGCAGGATCTAATCTTAGTAGCTGATAGAAGGATTGCTAATGGTTTCTTATTATTTCCTTTTCAGAGAATAAAGATCCTGGTAAGATTTTTGCTCTTTACAACCTCTTTTCAAATGTGGAACCAAATGGTCATAGAGGACAATCGCCACACTGAACACTGAGAAACAGAACTATTAGAGGAAAAGTACAATCGTCTTTCAGTAGACTTGTTTGTTTGTTGCTGTCCTGTTTACTTGTAGCTAAGCAGGATATGTATCCCTGAGCATACATCCTGGGAAGAAGATGCATGTGGGTGAGGGTGAGAGCCACCGCAAGTTTTTGTATAAATCATGAGTTCATTGAAGGCAGAGACGGTGTCTTATTTACTTGGCCCAGTGCATGGCACAGAATAGTGCTCAATGAATATTTCTTTAATGAATAAGTGATTAAACACATAAATGAATCATTCATTCCCTCCCTTCAAGAAGCCAAAGGTCTTGTGTGAGAAAAATAATTGGTAGGATAGTGTATCGCATGCTATGATATGGGCAGATATAGAGTAAAATAAAGTATAAAAAGAGGAGTAGGCAACTCTACAGAGAGTAGTTGGGGAAAGCTCCCCAATGGAGGTTATCCTTGAGCCGAGTTTTTAAAACTGAGCTTGTATTTTAGGGCAAATGAGTATTTTAGGCAGAGGAGTTGGGCTCTGCGGAACGAGGCTGAGTCTGACTCTGAAGCTAGACGGCCACACCTGAGCCCTGGCTGGACTTCTCACTTGCTGAGTTTCTTTGAATAATTTCCTTACCTTCTCTGTTCCACAGCATCGTCATGTGTAAAATGGAAACAATAATGATACGGAGTTTGCGGGATTGTTATGAGGATTGAATGAGCAGTTCACATAGAATAGTGCCTGACACACGGAAGGCAGGGGGTGAATGTTAGCTGCTGTTATATGGGAAATACGGGATTGGATAACAAGCATTAAAGTTTATTGAGCATGTATGTTCTAGGTATTACCCTAAATATTTTACGTGAGTTTCCTCCTCTAACGCCCCTATTCTACAGGAAACCAAGGTTAGGAAAGAAGCCACCCAGTCACAGAGACAGGTGTAAATGCGGCTCAGCGGTGCTGGGCTGATATCCTTAGCACCGTCTCCAGGAGCACATGAGAGCTCTGTGAGCACGAAGCATAACCATCTGGGCCTTCGTGTGAGCGTGTTTAAGTCTAAGCTCTGCTTCTAAATTTGTGCCGATAAAAGTTGCGAACATTTTTCTTTTCATTTTCTTTTCCATCAAACACAGTAAGCAGAGTGAAATGTCTATTTACTTTAAAATTTTTATTTATGATTTTTAGTTTATTTAGCATTTCTAAAAAATGTTAGTACTGGAAAATTTTTTCTGAGTCTAATAATATCAACTACCTATTGTCATTATACTCAACTCCCTATTATTAGCAAATGGATAAGCCTGGAAATGACTTGTTTGTATTCCATGTAATCTCAGCCAGAGAGCTGCCTCACAACTGGGTCAGTACTCAGTTCTGTTCTCCATTGTCACAGAGCCTTAAGAAGGAAAGGAAGGAAGGAACTAGCATTTTTCTTAAGTATCTGCTATGCTCCATCCATTTTCACCTTCATAATCTAATTCTCACAAATACCTTGTGAGGTAGATGTTTTATATCTCCATTTTCCAGATAAGAAACTGAGGCTTAGAGAAGTTAAAATGACTTGCCCTTGGTCACAGCCTAAGGCAGATCTGGAATTCGAACACAGGACTCCTGACTCAATCCAGTGATCTGTGCCCAGGAGCATCCTGTAGCAAAACGCCCTCAACAGAGAGAGGGCTGCCTTTCTGCACCATCACCTGCTCTCCTCTCTTTCAGCTGCCACATCCAGGGTAAAACAAAGCCTAGGACTGCGCAGTGTCCCGGCCCCAGGTCTTCCAGGAAATGAGGATGCACCCAGCCCCACATCCCTGGGGCAAAACTGCCCACTGTGGGCAATGTGGCTGGATCCCCGACTCTGATGGATTTCAGTCGTCCGCACCAGCAGTCCCAGCCTCTAACAGAAATAATTGAGAGTTGATTATACTCAAGGATATTTAAAATAAAGCCACTTTTTAGTAGAAGAATCATTCCCTTAAAATGTGTACAGTGCTTCACATAATTTAAGGGCAATCACAGAAAAGTGGTACGGAAAAAGAAGAAAGATGTTGGATCTCTATTAGGAGGGATTCTGTTAGTTATAAAAAAGAACTTCTGACTAATGAAAAGTAGGTAAGCCCCAAGAATCAGTGATTCAAAAATGTGAAGGGCTTTATCTCTGAGAAGACCTTTTCATATCAATCTGGAATATGGTTCTTGCTAATGCAAGACAGTAAGCTTGAAGACTTCTAGAACTTTCCATCTTTAGGATTTGAAGACTTTCTAAGCTTCAGTGGATCTAGATCAAGAAGCACAGGCTAGTGTATTCTGAGTGTGTCATCTCTGAGCTGTACCTGTAAGCTTACCTCAGGGCTAGCTATATAGCTCACCTTTAAGGCTTGGGGCTCCCTAAAGGATGGGCCCTCTTTGAGAATCCCTGGGGAGAGTGTCCAGTCTCACGTGAAAAATTTTACCTACAATTTAAACTTAAACCAAGGTTTTTTTCTTACCACTCTTTCCTCTTTTCATTTTCAGATGAATTTCCACAAACTGTAAAGAGTAAGTTGACCTTTCGTTGAGGTATGCCCTGTCTGGGGATGCAGGTCAGTGTGTCCAGAAGAAAAGGAATTCATTGAGGGAGATACTCCCGAGAACTGAGGCCCTCCCAACATTCTACTTCCAACTCCTGTTTTAGAAACATTGCAAATAGGGACTTTTTTAGGTCTTTCTTCACTTCCATTCTCCCCTCCCCAAGTCCCCACACCCATGCCTAAACGCTAAAGTCACTTTCAAAAGATTGTCTAGTCCCCCTTTTGTGTAACCCCTCTGTCACACCCTCCAGCCAGCAGAGTTCCCTTTTGACAAGAAATCTAAGACCTAATGACAGGTGGCTTTCTACATCTGGTTGGTTCTTTTGTTACTAATTTGCATTTCCTGAAATCTTACCGATTTCTTCTTCCAATTTCCCTTCCCTTCTCTCCATTCCCTAGCATTTCAAGTCTCCATCTCTGGAATCAGGGTGGAGCTGACATGCCCTGAGGATCCTGAGTCTGAACCAATAAGCTGGGAAAAAAATGGTGTGAAATTACAGGATCAACAGGAACACCACCTATTGATCGACCCTTTTTCCGAAGTGAAAGACAATGGTCATTACTCCTGCTACAGAAGCAACTCTAAACTCCATCACTATGATCTCTACTTAAAAGCAAGAGGTAATGCAGGTCTCCAGCGCATGCACTACAAGGCTCTTTAGGAAGGACCATCTCAAAAGGGTTTCTCAGTTATTTCCCCTAACCCAACTCACAGTCCCCTGGCATCTCTATGCCTCTCCTACTCTCAGTACTGGGACTGTCTGGGGCCACACAGAATCAATGTTTTCTGAAATATCGATTAAACACCGATGTGGGACTGTCTAGGTAAGCTCAGTCAGCACTTGAGCTAAAACAACAACTTCTCAGGCGACAGGATTGGGTCATTTGCAGTAGAGTACTTCCAGAATTATGGACACCAAGATGAATTCATCTGATGCTTTATCCAGAGATGAGCTCTTCAAAGGGATTTGCAAAAGAGACTCAAAGACTCTATAACAGAATGTCATAAGCTAAAGCATAGTGTTAAATCCTAATGGTAGCTAGCAGTTATTGAGTGCTGATTAAGTTTCAAGCACTACACCAAAGACTTGCCTAGGATTTTTTTTTTCTTTTTTCATGTAATCCTCTCAACAATCAATTGATTTAAGTGCTATTTTGTTCCCATTTTATAGATGAGGGAACAGAAGCTTTGGGAGTTGAAAACACATTTCACAATTCTCACAGCTAGTGAGCTGGGACTTGAACCCCGACTGTCTGATGCCAGAGTTTCTGCCCATAACAGCCACACTTTGCTTGTTGTTATAAACATAATGAAAGGGAGGGCTCTACTCCGGTTCTGGGCAGCATGTGAGGATTGGAGGGAGAATCGCCTTCATGTGTTCCTCCCGCATCTCCAGTGTCCTTGTGTGTCCTTGTTCAGTGATTTCCCCTCTTCTCCTCACACCCCGCCCCCGCAGTGTGTGAGAGCTGCATGGAGGTGGATCTGATGGCAGTGGCTGCGATCATCATAGTCGACATCTGCGTCACTCTGGGCCTGCTACTGCTGGTGTATTACTGGAGCAAGAATAGAAAAGCCAAGGCCAAGCCTGTGACCAGAGGAGCAGGTGCTGGCGGCAGGCCCGGTGGTAAGAACATGGAGTTGGGTGGGAGGCGATTCCCACCAGAGGGGATGCCCAGCCTGGCAGGATAGGTGGCAAGTCCACAGCCGGGTCAAGACAGCTTCTATAGAACATTCTCTGTGTTGCCAAGACCTCTACAAAGGGTTTCACATCTCAGATCACTTCTCTTTCCTGCCTTAGAAAAGCGCAGGAAAGTTCCCGAGCGGGATGGGCTTCCTCGAGGCCTGTCAGTGCTCTGGAGTAACCAGATTCCACCCCAGCCTGTGGGGAGACACTTTGGGACACTGGTTTCCGCCTTTTCCTTTCCCTCCAGGAGAAAGGAAACCCTGAGAGGACCTTGAGCTGAGGAAAGTGACAAAATGATAAGAATGGGGAGGGGGGCATTAGTGATGGGATAAAAGGAAGAAAAAAGAGGCGGCGGACATGGAAAGGGGAGGGTGAAGGAGGAACGAACGGCCCCCCTCCTGGCTCTGCTCTCACTGCGGTAGCCTGGCGAGAAAACAAATCCTCTCCCCTCCCCCTCGCAGGACAAAGCAAGGAGAGGCCACCGCCTGTTCCCAATCCAGACTATGAGGTAAGGAGGGATGGAAGGGGGGGCAGGGTCCTTCTGCGGGACAGGGGACAGGCGGGACTGTGCAGCTGCTGCCAGACACCTTAAAGCCCCTCACTCAGGCTCCAGACAATGCCCCGCATGCCCACCTCTGCCACCTGCACCGCAGGGCACGGCTGTGTCAAAGGCTGCCGGCTCCACCGCCACGGAGCAGCTGGGACTCAGCGTGAGGAAAACACACGTGTAATTCTAACATGATAAACTCAGGATTGATGTCCCACCAGCACGCACCAGTCCAGTCATCCAGTTGCTGAATTATTAAAATACTTCCCTGATAAATAGCTGAAGCTTCCCCTACCCCCAACACAGACGCCAGGCAGCCCAGCCCCCGCCCACTGAACTGCCCCTTGATTTCACAGCTGGAGTTCGTGTCTGGCCTAGCAGAAGTGATTGGTTACTGTGTGTACACTACCAATTGTCAAATCTTTTTACTATCACACTTGAACGAACTCAACAAATATTTATTCTGCACCCGCCAGGCATATGGCATTCACTTTCCCATGAGCGGCTTTATTTAATTCTGACAAAAGCCCTGAGAAGTGGGTCTTTAGATTCCCATTTTTGAGATGGGAAAGCTGAGACCCACAGAAGGAGGCAACCAGAGCAAGTCTATTACCTGTCAATGCCACGTTAGAGTGCCAGCCTGCGTCCTGGCTCCTGGGGGAAGGTTCTTTCGGTCACACTGAAGCTGGGTCTTCGGAGGCCCGTTTTTCTCAGGAACTACTCCTCCCATCCTGCTGACCACCCTCTCTTCACCCCCAGCCCATCAGGAAAGGCCAGCGGGACCTGTATTCTGGACTGAATCAGCGGGGCGTCTGACGGCTCCTGAGGACACCGCCTGCC